AACTTTGAATATATAAATTATATACTGAACTATATCAAAATTAGATATTATTAACATAAATAGTGGACTATTTGTAAAATATAACAAGTATAATTGAATAGTGAATTATTTGTGAATATAACAAATACAGTTGTTTGCTTATCAATAAAGTTAACTAATAGACAACTATATGTTTATATATAGCTAAATATACATGAATATGTAATAAACTACATTTAAATATAGTTATTTATATTTTTAAGTATATAGATAATAGTGAACTATTCGTGAATGTAACTAGTTAGTATAGTTAACTGTTTGTGAAAAAAAGTTAACTATATAGATAACTACATGTGGATATATAGTTGACTACATATAAAAATTTATAACTAATTATATTTTAAAATAGTTAGTATATTTCTAACTATATACTCAATTATACACAAAGAGAGTGAGTAGTTAAGAGTGAACTATTCGTAAATATAACAAGTATAGATGACTGTTTGTGAAGAAAATTAACTAGAAATATAAGTATATTTGGATACATAGTTAACTATAAAATTAATAGAAATAAAAAATCTTGATAAATATATTTGGATACATAGTTAACTACATGTATAAATATATAATTAATAGAAATGAAAAGTCTACACGTTTATGTTGTTAGTTATTTTTTCCTAATAATATAAAAAAATATATATATCTTATATCTTCAATTATTTTTTGGACATGAGAAACAAATAATGTAATATGAGAAAATAATGTATTAAATGAAGTAATAATGAAAATGAGATATGAGATCAATTACCATAAATACATTAAGGGTAAAATTGGAATCTCAAGTAATTAGAATGTTAGTTACTAAATTTCATTTTATGTTATGTTAGATAATTAAATATAGAGCCAATAACTAATATAGATGCTGATTTCTCATTTTTCAACCAGATCTGAACAGTAACAAGTGTAAGGATATAATCATATCAATCATATCACTAATAGGTTAGAGCATCATTATCCATGAAATTTAGTGGGTATCAGACATTAAAATCGATTAAAAAAATTGGGCCGACTGATTTGTGGGCTTGATTCGTCTTAGCCTGCTGAGTCTGTTGAGTCGTCTCAGCGGGACACATGTCGAGCACACATTGGATCGGCACTTTTTTTTTGCCCAAACACGCGAGAAAAAATCATTTGGTCGGGAAATTTTTTTCTCTCTGGTTTGTTCTTCTCTGAGGCAATTCATGGCGCTTGAGCCGGCGAATCGACACTGTTCTTCGCCGTGATCTTCCTCGTGCATGTTGCCGTTGGCTACAGGTCGGCACAGATGTTACGACATGGAGCCCTACAGGTCGAATACGCCATGGAAGCAGTGAAGCAAGGCTCTGCTGCAATTGGTCTCAGATCTCGCAACCATGTCGTACTCGCTTGTGTTAACAAAGCCCAATCAGAGGTCTCTTCACATCAGAGGAAAATCTTCAAAGTCGATGACCATATAGGCGTTGCAATCGCCGGTCTCACCGTCGATGGTCGTGTTCTCTCTCGTTATATGAGATCGGAGTTAATCAATCACTCTTTCACCTACGAGTCTCCTCTTCCCGTTGGCCGGCATGTTGTTCATCTCGCCAATCAAGCCCAGGTTCGCTGCTCTCACCTCTTTTGCTTGTATCGTTGATTCAGATTTGATGAATTTGGATCAACCACACTTGATTTTGGCTCTTTGAGCTTAAAATTCACCCATTAGCTTGTTGAATTTGCGCTTATGATGATGCTATGATGATATACATTGGTCTACTGATTAGTTTGCGATCAATTGTTGATGATTTGGAATTAGAGCTTCAAGAGCTTTAGAGCAAGTATGATAGTGATCAGAGCTGATTTGTTTTGCATGTTGTGTTGTCACAGCTGCATAATCTTGAATATAAAGATTTACCTTTTATGAGCATGTCTTACAAAACATTCACTTTAGCAAATAAGATTCGAGAAGAATGTTTTGCTTCTAGTATCACATATGTTGTCTCGTCGGTTACTACTATTGCTTCATTTTGCTCTGCAACTTTGGCTAAAGGTTAGCCTCTTCCTGCCATGTTTGTATTCCCAAGCTATGTTATTTCCTTGTTGAGTAGTAGTTGCTTTAAACTATATAGCTAAGAACATTCAAGATAGTATTGTGAAGAAAGTTGGTGAATGTAAATGTAGCACACAAGATAGTACACCAGAAGGTATCGGACCTGTAAAGATTGGTCAGAAGATAACCATTGTTGAGTTCTGGTCGTGTCAGTGTTGTTTAAATCAGCTAAGTTTGCTCTCTCTTTGTTCTTATTTTAAAATTCTCATTGTTGTGTTAGAATTGTACTGAGGATAATGATTCCAATAAGAAAGTGAACTTCTCTGAGGAAGAAGAGGACCCGGAAAAAGAGAAGAAAGTTGTGTCTTCTAAGAAGAGGTGTGGAGTTGTTTAATATTCATTCTCTATTTCATCAAAGGCAAAGAGTGATTAATACATGTCTTGATTTACTTCTTCACAATAGCAGCAAGATGCTTTGCCGGGGAAACAGTACAACATTCATGGTTCCGGTAACAATATTCCACCCCCACTTAAAAGCTTTGCAGAGTTGTCATCAAGGTGTGTGGAATTGGATTTTATTCTTACAGTAGTTTGACTTATTATGCTCATAGGATTAGTGGTTTTGATGTTTGTGTATATATGAAATCCTCGTTGGAATGAATTTTCCCAGGACCTTTCATCTATTGATATACTTGTTTACGTGTTTAATCCCAGGGTCGTGAATGCTTCGCTTTTGCTCCAACTGGGTCTGGAAAAACCATGCTTTTATATTATTATTTTTTATCAATTTATTGTCTTTTTGGATTGTACTATATACGATTTTCTGATTCAGTTTGTTTTAACGGATTGTAATATATGTTTAAAATTTTATTAAACATAATAAATTAGTGT